GTACTTAATTTATCGACTTCGCGTGATAAGAACTATCTTATCATAGAGAGAATCGATGTGGTATCCTTTTTGTATATTAGAAATTTAATGAAATCGACTTGTAAACAGTTGATCATCAATTATCATTACATTATTGTTAACTGCATCGTGAACAATTGTTTAGATTTTTCCTCCCGTTTGCAAAACTGTTCAACGTAGATCAGATCTGTCACGAGCGAGTACAAATAATAGCAGGACATCTGTTCAAATGATTTTACGGTTAGTTAAGTTGAGGAAGAGACTTTCTTACCTAAAGTTAATCAATAAGTGGATAGATAGTGATTGAATTGTGATTGTAAAGCAGATCATACCACATGTTATGTTACAACTTACAGAAATTAAAGGAATTTTCTTGAAACTTCAATTGTCTTTAATACAATGTAAACGAAGATTTGTATCGATATCTGTGAATTAACAAGGTAAGATCTTGTATATTTCAATCTGATCATCAATATTATATATCGGACGTCGTGCGTTATTGATTCGATGATCTCCGGTTTCGTAGATCAAAGTCCTATCTGATAAAGCAATATCGAATAAAATCTTTATTATACATTAACGCGTGCATCGAAATTTCTATTATACAGAGGAAATGTTAGCAAATATGTCGCCTTTAGTATACTTTGACACAGTGTGTCATTTGTGAAGCTGAAGCTAATTTGTATGAGAGCTCGTATTTGTATCAACTTTCATCTAGAAAAACTAGAGAAGAGTACAATTATCAGTATACATATAATTCATTCCATAGAAATATTATGTTAATATATAAGCAACGATGTATTATAAATAAACATATAGGGAAAAAAAAAGGAGCACACATTTTTAGAATTTTTCCCTCTGAACAATAAAATGTCGTATCAAAGAAGTATCCCTCTTTATCCTTCTCCTTTTTTAAATAGCTGCAGTAGTAATACATCTCGCAAGTCAGTCGACACTTGTGTATTTTATGCCAGATGACATAAATAATCTGTTACTGCTGCAAGTGCAGATTTTTCAATATGTGTACATCGAACAACGTTGGTAATTGAATCGTTTAAATCGTTTCACGATGATCCGCGATCTTCACGATTGTGATTGCATCTAGTTGTTAACATATCTATTAAAAGCGAATTCTTTTCTTTCTTCCCCTCCCTCCCCCCCCCATTATCCTGCGAATTTATTTTGTAAAACTCGAGGCCTAAAAAAAAAGAAAATATTTCTACACAAAACTTCTTCTCCATAAATTACTTTATTATCTAGTATTTTCATCTTCAATCACAATTCAAAAAAAAATGGCCACAAA